GACCCACAAATCTTTTGGGATATTTCTTCACAGTTTTTGCAAGGTCATCATTCATTATACGACATAAATCTAAAGTATCTTCTGGCTTGGCCTTACAGAAAAAAAAAGAGGCATTGTTAGTAAGGAACTGTTCATTCAACAGCAAGGTCAAATGTATTCCATCTGTCACACTTACCCAATAACTGAACATAACTGGAACAGTTGAAAGGGCTTGAACTGTAACACCTGTGTGGAATTAAATACTTGTCAAGAATAGACTGGAAAAAGGGGAAAAACTTCTCCTTTAAATTCTCATCTCATTTCATGTTTGCAGTTTAGTTTTCTGATGCCTGATTGGCTTTTTCCATGAAACAGAATAACATCAATTTTTATTAATAAATATTTTGGTTTTTCACAGTTTTCTAATTTCACAAGGTAGATTCTTTGAACCTGCACCTGAGCTAAGAACCATACTTACGCAAAAATATTTTTTTTGCTTTTGGGAGAGTGTCATTTCTTGACTTCTAAAAACTCACCTGTTGCATCCATATCTCTGATTCTTGCCTCTGGTGACCAACAATTCTCATCTATCACACGAAAAAGATTCCCATCTTTCATCATCTTTGCTTTTCCCTAAACAACAATTGAAAGTAAGAACTTTTAAGTTCAACATTTGAGCAGACGATCATTTAACTGTAACTATACTTTCCGTAAGGTAGTCTCTTGACCAGAAAAATATAAAGAGGAGAGGAAAAAATAGCAACCTTATTTTACACAAATCTGGAAAGACCCTCTCATAAAAATATATAAAAAAGAAAACCCATTTTAACTACATCAGTTTATTAGAGTGAAATCCAGAAATTTCTTAAGAACAGTAGGAGTCTTCTAAGCCTATTATCATCATTTAAACTGATTGTTCATCTTAAAGGGTCTTTGAGGCTCCTGGAAATAAATTCCTTATCTTTGGAGTCAATCCTTTCTCTTCTTTAAAAAAGAAGGAGGTAAGATGATGGTTCTACATGGGTAAATAGTGAACATTCCCTCTTAAAAGTTAGGCTGGCACTGTAAGCTAATTAATTGACTGCCAGTCGACAAAAGAGACAATTTAACAAACCTCACAATGATGATGAAGTTGTATCCATCCTCCATAACCATATCGCTGAAAAGATGAAAACTCTACTTGTTATATAAGTGTATAACATTCCCGCAGCCCCATTTAGCACTTATTAAAAAATATATTACAGATATTCCTTGAGTGCTCATTGGATATAAGATGGTAAATCGTCAACAAGGCACAAAGCACCAAGTTGGCTGTGAGCGTTCTCATATCCAACAGGCACATATGCAATAATTGTTTTATTGAATTTCATTAAATCCTGAATGTTTAAATATTTGAAACTTTTTTTTTCAGCTCCACAACAGTTGGTGGGATGCGTAATTCTATATAAGGTGACTGAGAACATGAGCTGATAACTGGAGTTGAGTGAACTAATCAGAAAACTAGAAATGCAATATTTGGAGTTGTAAATGTAATGAAACCCATGTATTTAATTACTTGTTAAACACTAGGGATCTCACTTCCATATTGTCTTAGGGATTAAATTACAGCCTAGTCATAACATTCTCTAACAAACTTTCCAGCGCTTTTGAACTCCATGATTTTGAATATAAACTATGGTAGTCAAAATCTATCAAACTTGTAGAGTTTCAATTTCAGCAATCTGATGTAAACTGATCTTTGTTTTTTTTGTTTCTTGTTTTAACAACTTGTCAATTCTTGGCGGTGTGGTGTGGGCGGTGGTCGTTAAGTTTGATTTACTGTTACACATGGAATAATTTTAAGCCCAGTTCACATAAAATAACAAAACCTAAAATGTTTATTATTAATTCATGTGCTACTGTAATTCTTTTTAGGCCCCTAACAACAGTATAGGAATTCGAAGTGTTTCTAATTACATTGCATGTCTCTGTTGCAAATGTGATTTAATCTTTACGATCGATGCTTCTACCGTGTTCAACACCATACGAATCACAATTCTTCTACGTTATTTAATTCTGTTAATTGGGCTTCCGTACATAATTCAAGTTCATCAAATATATTTCTCTATGAAATTCAATCATTCTTTTAAGAAAACAATGACAAAACGTTTCGTACTTGCCTGAAAATTTGCCAATTATATTAGCTCGATCATTTTTAAACGACTCACCTCCTTCAGATCTGGCCATCTCTCGGGTAATATATGATTGTGAATATCGATTTTGAAAGACATCACACAGTCTACTTTAAAACGCGTGGTTAATCACGAATTATCATCAACAGAATACAACTCATGTCACAACAGTTTTTCACGACCTCGTCTCCAGTATTCCCGCTCTTACTCCCTTAAGGAGGGAAACTGGGAATAAGGTATTCGTCATAACTCGATCCACTCGTTCAAACCACATTTTGAGGCGGATGAAAACCTGAACATTCATGTCTTCAAATTGTTCCTTTTTCTGTTTAAGATTTTGATTTTACAAAAAAATAAAAACGCACATGTAGAAAAATGGCCTTGAACAAGGATAAAATAAAACGAATCTTGTGTTCTGAATGGCTACTATCATGTACCACACAGTGGAGGGAGACAGGAGGGCGGGAGCACGGGAGAACAGGGGGCGTGAGAGGGCGGGAAGCGGGAGAACAAGGGGCGGGAAGCGGGAGCAGAAATAAAGAAGGCGATAGTTGCGATAGAACATCCACCAATGCTTAAAAGAAAATTTTGGAAGCAAGAAAACTTAAATTTGTACTCGGGCTGGAAAAACAGCATCACGACTTCCGGTGAATTTGGAAATCCCTTCCATTCGATTACGTCATAGGTCATGAGATAGCATGATACACGACACATGTACACTTATACTTCAGTGTCTGGTAAGCCGACAGGTTGGAGTCGGGAGGCAAAGGGGCACAAAAGTAGAGGAATCGGGAGATTCTGACCCCCCTGTTCCACCTTCCCCCTTCGCAAAAGCAGGCATGGCAGCACGAGCCAATCTCAATTTCTGGCTTGATAGTGACAGAAACAAATAGTACTGGCAGCTGGTTTATTTTAGAAACTTTAAATTGTTTTGAATTGTTTTCAGCAGCTTTGACGGTAACTAAGTAACAAACTCGTCTTAAGACAGTCAGAAGACAGAACAAAGAAAATCGCAATAGATTTCTTACATCAATCTAATTTGGTTTAATCTCGTTGTCATATGATAAATCCTGTGTTTAGCAAACCTTTTCCGGCAAACATGGCTTCATCTCGGTCGCTTTTCCTTTTGCGTTCGAGTAGACCTCGACCCCATTAACCCCGTCGCGTCCTTGTTGGTGACTACGCAATGAAAAAACAAATAGAAATAAAGATAGACAAAATCCGACCCTCCTTACCTCACGGTTGGTCACTGACACATGTTTATCACAAACAAATGGTATAGTTTCTGTCAACATCAATTATGTTACTAATTGGGCCCAGTTAAAACAAAAAAGCAAAACAACTTTGGTTTTCGTTTCGTTGAAACCGTTTCAACTTGCTTGAGCGATCGTGAGCTGGCGTTGCATACATAATTACATACAGTCTTTCATAACTTTTATTTCTATGTCTTATCGTTTTAGCGCGAAGGTACTTAACCGAAACCGTTATAAGGGAGGAGTGGGAGGAGGAGGTTTGTGGTCGAGTTGTGGAATGCTTTGCATGTGCAGTGCGTGACGACTCTTGGAGGGAATGGGAGATATTTGTGAGTTTCCGGCGTCTCTTTTAAATTCAGAAGACGTATCTGTCCGTCTGATTGAGTAGAAAAGTCGCCACGGGTTGCCACAGGTGAGACTTAAAAATCTGATAGCAATGTAGGGTCTTATTCGCGTTTATGGTGCTGTTAAAATAGTCAGAGAGTGTGAATTTTATCGACATCAGAAAGTGGCCGTCTTGGGGTTTTGTGCTAGTCTTTGACATCCCTAATTCTTTCGCTTATAATCCTATTGCTTCGGCATTCATCTCTCTGTTTCACGCATTAGGTGTTCGCAATTCTATTAGTCCCTCATAAAAGGATTCTTTGATAGTTTTGTGAAGAATCGACGATTTATAAACATGTCAACAAGCCCTGCGGTGCGTAGCCCCTAAATGGACATCGCATTTAACTTGAACGTCGACTATGAACTAAGAAAAATATTTACAACTGTCATCAACATACTATGGTTTCACTTTTCTTCTGAAGCACCAGCTGCCTGTATATTTGATTTTGTAATTAACTGCTGAGGAGTTAATTTATTCACCCATCGCGTACCACAAAAGTCAATTCATACAGAAGTGTAATCCATTGATACAACGAACAAGGTGGGAGCGTGAAAATTAGGTAAGCTTTGTGCTGCCCGCGGAATCCAGTCTGTCTACGTGTAATTTTTCCGTCTAAAACAGCAGCTGTTTACACCAGAGAGTACTTGGAATACTCGTGAAACAAAGGCTACTTACTGACAAATCATGCAGACTTCTGTTTGCTGTTCTACGAGGTTACTTCTTACAGGTCTACGTCGTTGTAAGCTACATGTAGCAGTTTTGTTTTGACACAAATTTAACCCTTCAAGCACTGTTTTTTCTAAGGTTAATTTTCGTCACTTCACATGTCTTATGTTTGAGTAAAAGTACAGGCACTTAGACTATTGAGTCGTGTCGAAGATGCAAAGGACGTGTGAATGGACGAATTTTTACACGCTTTATGCATTCACGTCGCGAAGACACAAGTGTGGTCATCATTGATAGTAATGTTTAATTTAGTTCTTTCGCATCAAGAATTACTACAGTGTTCATGCTAGCGTGAGTTTTACTTTTGGTATAATTTTAATACAGATAATGGGCAGTAATAAACTCACTCTGACAAACCAATTATTTGCGTCCGTCTGATGTGGAAGTTTCGAATCAGTATTCTTGTCTTCTTTTCACAGAATGAGTGCCCTCTCGATTCCTTTGTGTGTTTCGCTTTTGGGGCTTTTCTCTGGCGTTTGCGGTATGTTTTTTTCAATCCTTATTTCTCTGTGGTTATCCAAAGATATTTACATATATGATCAAATTCGAGATAGATGAAATATTCGCTTTTTCGAATTCACAGCAAACATACACCGACACCTTTTCAATTCTTAGGGAATTGTGTTGGCGTAACCTAGTATCCTAGCTAAACGAAACAACGATTTTGCCTGCAGGCATACTTGTCAAAATTTCTTCGATTTGCATGCAAATTTATTGAAGCATTTGTTGGAAGGAAAAGGTCGATGTTTTCATCATTGTTTCAATTATGATAATAGCGTGATCAGACAGCTGGTAGTAGTGACCAATAGTCGCAAGTTTTAGAAATTAATTTACTTAAAATAATTTAAAGCCAAATGATTTTCCAAAGGAAAGCGGCATCTTGTCTTGGTTTTAATCTAAAGAAGTTCTAAAGTATGTTTGAATCGTATTCTTCCTTAATTTCTCTACATGGGGTGGGGAAATACGAGTTTCCGATATTATGTATATTGATTCCACTCTCCAAAAAACAAAATACAAAAAGAAATGTTGTTGGTTTCAAATGTTCAATAATTGCTATTACCACACTTTGTGAATTTTTACGCCTGTTAAAACTCAGATTAATGAAAAGGATATTAGATAAGATTATACTAATGCCTAATATTTTAAGGTTACAAATTTAAGTTACTTTACTTGATTTGTCCAATTTTAGTTAACAAGCTGCACTAACATTCTTAATTTAAAGAGGTAAACATTAAATAGATAAACATTAAATAATTTAGTGTTCTTTAACCCTTTAAACCCAAGGGGTGACCAGTATCTAATTTCTCCTTACCATATCACCCCTAAATCACACTTTAAGGTCAGGAGAATAAAGAAAATTATCACCAACAAAAGAAGCTCTTGATTGTTTAATAAATTCTCCTTGTCAGTACCTTTGGGAATGTATAGAGAACATTATGGAGAATATGCATCCTGATGTTAGGGTGTAAAGCATTAATAGCTGTAAGACTTATTCTTATGCTTGATTGTCTTATCAAACTTTATGGTGATTTCATTTGTGATGATTTTATCAAGGATAATTCATTTACTTATTTGTACTCTTTGAATTGGTATCAATTTGTACAGAAAAAAAAGTGATATATTTTCAGAACTAAGTAACACTTAAATTCCCCAGATCTGATTATTAATTCTTGCTTCTAGCTGCTACATATTTCCTTGTAAATTTGTTACAAGAATCTGGTGTTAGATAAAGATAACAACTTCTATCTGATGAGTTTGATTATTCTCATTACCTGTTTGCTGGTTAATGTATAGATATTATAGGGAGAACTGACAAGTCAATCACTTCTGGAACTTACATGGTTAACATCCATTTTGTGTCCTAAATTTGAGCACAATTTTGATTAATTGGTTAGAAGATTGTGAATTGTTTCAGTTCTATCAGAAACCATTCTAAAACCCTTGCCTTGGAGTTGTTCAAAATTTGTTACTCACTTTTTAAATTAACCTTTAACTCCCATAAGTGATTAACATGAAATTTCTCCCTATAGCATCCATACATTATCCAGCAAACAGGTTATGAGAATATTTAAAATTATCAGTTGGAAGTTGTTTAATCTTGATCTAACACCAAATTTTCTCAACTAAATTACAAGGAAATGTGTAGAAGCTTGGAGGGAGAATTATGGATCAGATCTGGAGAGAGACTCTTTTCTATCTTATTATTAACTGTGTGATACCTTTTTAAAAACATTGTAGGTGTTCGCATTGATTGTACAACAATAGAATCTTCATGTGGAGCCTGTATACAGAACATAGACCCACCATGTTCCTGGTGTGAGGATGCAGTAAGTGTCTCAGTTGTTATTATCCCTTACAGGGAGTATCCAAAGGGGTCTCTAAAGAGGAAAGGTGCTTACTTGGTTTTTAAATCTAATAATGATGTGTCTGATCCTTTTTTTGTATTTGAATAATATCTGTAAACATTGTACATCAAAGTAAACTGTGTATTAACATACATAGTGGGTGTTAATTAAAAGTTTTTATTGGTTCTTTTGACTTTTATCCTAAACACATTCAGGAGAAAAATGGGATAAAATTGCAAATTTGTCAATGATCAGAAAGTGATTCTTGTTCCTTTTGACAGGAATATATGTGGCTAGAGCAGCCAAGAGCAAGGTGTGACAACTTCAAGAATCATACTAGAAATGGCTGCAAGAAGATAGCAAATCCTAAATCTAATTATGTTACACATGAAGTAAGTAAAGCAGCTAGTAAGCTCCTCTTCTTGGTAACCTTTAAGTAAATTAGTAAGGTATGGATGAAAAACTGAAATCCAGTTTAGTCACATGTGTGCGGGTGGAATCAAATTGCTGCCTCACTGTCTGGGATGGTTTCCAATAAGCAAATTAGTAATTTTTGTGATAGGAAAAATCAAATTTTCTGTTTGACCAGACATTTATTGTTAAATTTTTCAAAGCAGATGAGCCACAAGTTCCTAAAAAGTTGTGCATACAAGACATAAGCTAAAAATGCTTGGTGTTTTTCCATGGTGTCCTTATCAGATTTTGTTAATTCTGCTTGGTCTAAAAACTTTCTACCCTATTGTTAATGTTTGTCTAACTATTTTTTTCAATTACTTCCAGAGTAAACCACTTAATGAAGATGTCAAAGTCACCCCTCAGAATTTAACTTTGTCACTTAGACCAGGTACCATTACATTGTAATAATACTTTCTTATTAATGGCTGATTCATGGTGCTGTTACCTGTGATAGAGCAGGCATCAGGGTTAAACCTTACCCAGAAAATACAAACCCCTTGGCATGACATTAGTGACTCAAGGCTCAATAGGTTTTCCTGATCAAAACCCTGTGGACACAAATCCAACATACAAACATTGTCTTTCTGTGGAAGCTACATTTAAATCAGGTTAAGCTTATTGTTACAGGGTTAGTGTGTGCTCAAAAACCTGTAAGGTCCTGGGATTTTATTTTGACATTTTCCAGGACTGGAAAGTCCTTGAAAAGGAATACAGGTCCTGGAAGGTCCCAGAAATCTGCTTAAATCAGGCAATAAAATTTTCAGAATCTGCATTATAAAAGACATGTGTAGACTGTAAGGAGAATTGATTTTGAAATCTTGGAAATGAAAGAGTTTAAGGTGGAAGTTAGAGTCCTTGAAAAATCAATCTGACTAATTTTCAGAAAAGTCCTGGAAAAGTCCTTGAAATTTGTTTCTGAAAAAGGGCACAAACCCTGTTATGACGTTTTGAGCAAGGTGTCTGCAGTATCTGATTAGGTGGCCTGTGGGAAAAGTAAAGACAACCAGAGCCATAGAATGACATGTTCCTTGATCAAAAGAAGCATATCCCTGGGAAAGAAGCATTTTAACGTCAAAGTGAAACTTATGAGGCTCAATTCTTTTTTTACTTGGTTTCTTAATTGGTTATTTACCTAACTGTTTGCACTGGATTGAAGCTTGGCAACTATTTTTGCTGTCTTTTCAGAAAGCTCTGCTTGAGCCTGAAGCTGTGAGTCCTTCAGTATGAATAATAACTTGCAATCTTTTACAAACAGGTCAACCAGCAACTATTAAAGTGGATGTTAAGATGCCTGAAAATTATCCAGTAGATCTTTATTACCTAATGGATTTATCAGGCTCTATGGTAGAAGATCTTAAAAAGTTTCCAACTCTTGGCCAGCAGATAGGTACCTACCTATACAGCAACTTATGAACTAGTTGTTTGATATAAAGCACTCTGAGTGTAATGTGTGATGAGATTGTCTCGCTGAGGAGCGGTCTGAAAACCACTGTGATTGTTTTTCAGTTGCGAGTGGTTTGCTTCCATCTTTTACTAAATAAATGTAACTTATTTTTGCCAATACATGTACATTGACCCTGACAGTCAAATTTTATGAAGCAAAGCTCTAACATTTTATAGGCAAACTATTCCTCACACCACTTCTGACACTTCCTTCAGGTTGTGCAAACATCTTTGGTACCAACAACAATCCTTTTCAGGACTACAAGTGCCCACTTTTTTCTCCAGGTCATACATGCACACCACATGCCCAACCAATTATGCATGTTATCATAATTGTATCTATTCAAATCACCCATGGTAGTGTGCCTCCCTGTAAATTTTCCCTCTTTTTAGTCAATTGTAACTTATTTCTTTTGTTCTCTTTACAGCTAAAGAAATGAATAACATCACAAACAGATTCCGTCTTGGTTTTGGAGGATTTGTAGACAAGCCAGTAGCCCCTTACATTGACACTGCACCTGCAGCGTAAGAATTCTGTTAAACTCAAGTTTGGCATTATTTTGCAGTCAAAACCATTACCTTACCCTCTGAGCATATTATGTGCATTTCTGCAAAGTGGCCCATAACATAATTGATGGTAATGTACATAACAAAATTTTTGAGGTTGCATCCACAACTCCATTGCTCACATTTATGAAAAAGGGGCAGTAGTTGACATAGTAACAGGGGTTTCAAAATGTTTTGAAGAAGGCACCAGACTCTGTAAAAGTAGGTGACTGTGAAAACTTTATTTAGGGCCAAAAGATAAGTTTTTTGACCAGAGTAACCAGCATCATGTCATCAAGTAACTGGTGGAACTCTGGCAGTTGGCGGCTTGTTTTGAAACCCCAGTGTTAATTTCAAAGGGACTAAAATTGCAGCAGCAGATGAGGCAAAGGTCGAGAGTAATACAGCTAAAGATGCTACCCTTTTCCTGTTTTCTCATTGGCTGTATTTTCTGCGGCAAGGTGTAGATACTTGCAGTAAGTAAATGTGCTTTTTTCAACAGCTTAAAACATCCACTGGATGCAACTGCAGCAAACCCTGTCTCTGTTCCAACTTTTGGTTTTATCAATCAACTAAAATTGACTCCAAATTACTCTGAGTTTGAAGTAAGTGATTGCTAAATATTTGTGGATTAGATTTATGGCATTTTACAAAATATTACTCTACTTACAATACACTACAGGACTCAGGTACAATATGTCACTTAAAAATTTATTGAGAACACACTACTAACAAAGTTTAGTTTACAATAAACTTGATTACAGTAGATGACTTACTCTCGATTACTTACACTACCTACGCAATACTCTACATTTACATTATTTTGCGATATATATTACACTACTTTCAATATGTTATGGTAAATTACTTACAGTATCTTACTAATAGTATATAGCAAAATTGTATGCTTTGCAATAAAATTTGACTTTTTTTGCTACTCTGCATATTGTTTGCATGAAACTGACAAAATGCTTGTGGGAGGGTGGGCTGGGG